GCGGAATAATCAAATAGAATAGGTATTTAAATTGTATGAAACAAACGCCGTAAATAATCAAATGATGTAATAGACCCGGGGTTTTGTTAGAAAATTAAAAATTTTGTCCGACTTTGTGGCTTACTATTTTTTACCGGCACTACGTGTTTTTTCATTATTTTCGATGGATCTATAGGTGGTAAAAATGCCGTAAAAAATCATTTGATAAAAAAGCTCCCGGTTATTGTGTGCTTTTTAATTCTCACCTGCACTCAGTTGGACAGCTTACAAGTCACGGAATAGTGCTAAAAATTATTATTTTATGGCTTTTTATCGTCTAATACAGGTTTCCTACATGATCATATGACCCATCGATTTTTTTAGGTCGGGCCTGTAGTCTATTAAGACGAGTAGAAGTATGGATGAAACACCACAGCTTACAGCTGGTACCAAACAAGACGGAAGCTGTTATTATTAAAGGTAGAAGACGGAGAGACCTTTACTTCAGGCTGGACTGGACCGAGGTAATACCTGTGAAAGTAGTAAAATATCTTTGTATAATGATTGACTACCGACTATCCTTTAGGAAACATTTTGATAGAATAGTAACAAAGGCTGAACAAAGAGCAGCCACATTAACGAGATTTATGCCCAACATAGGGGGACCGAGTACAAAGAAAATATTGGTATTATGTGGAGTAATACACTCAATAATACTATATGGTGCACTTATATGGAGCGGTGCTCTTAAATATAAAAAATATAGGGACATGCTCGGTAGAGTACAGAGGAAATGACTGCTCAGGGCAATATGTGCATATAGGACAGTGTCTACTAAAGCTGCGCAGGTGATTGCAAGAATTCCATCTCTGGATCTGCTGGCCATTGAAAGGACAAAAGTCTACGGAGAGGACAATTCGGTTCTATTTCTTTAAGTTGAGAATTTCTCAGTCAAATCGTCTTATTTCTTCAAATTGAAAACTTGCTTACTGTGTAGTATGTCAAGTATTATATTTCAATAAAACGTAAAATAATTTTTGAATGTGGTGACAATATTATAAGAATATTATAACAAATAAAACCTGCAATTATTCTACACCTGATATTCTGCATTCGTCTCATCCTCTCAAAACTTAATTTTTAAAAATTTTTACTTTTAACACATGTGATCATCACACATGATATTTTGTATTCAAAACCTTCTTTAAATATGATGTTATGGTATTATTTGTCTCCATTCTTAGTCTATGTGTGCGATAGCATTGCCGGAGCACATGGTTTATCGGTTCAATTGCATTGCATCCAGCTCTGCATTTGCGGTCACGAATTCGACATCCTACTCTTCTAGACTTCGTAGGCAATGTGTTGATTCTCAATTCATTTGCATTAATGAAATCCCTTTCGCTTAGAAATTGGTTTCTTTCGGTAACTTATTGATGTTGTTGGGGTATCTTCTTCGACTCCTTGAGTCCATTCCAGTCTGTTGCTCCATATAATAGAATAGCCCATCTCTCCCGAATCTTCTTATTATTGTCTTAGTCGAAATTTTTCTCTGTTAGACGTCTCTTAGTACGTTGTTTTTTAATATTTAGGAAGAAGCATTGTGCTTCCTTATTCTTGCTAGTGTATCCGAGAAGTCTTTGTCTTTTGTGGAGTGGCATAAGCTACCTCATCGATAGTATTGAAAGACCTCTATTCTTGACATGTGAGTGGAAATCTGTGTTGGAGATATCGTGCGAAAGGGTTAGCCATTTTCTTGTAGCTGCGCGGGTCATTTGATCTTATTTTTTCAATTTGCTGAGCGTCGTGTTCCCCAGGGTCAGTAAGTCACTTAGGCTTGGTAGGGCTATCGTCCTTAGACCGAATAGCCTTTGCTAGGGTTTCAATAGCTCTCTTAAAAGCTTATCAAATGCCTTCCTTAATTTGATCTCGGGTTTAGAAATAAGCAGTCCCTCGGGTGTAAATGGTACACCTAGATATTTCCCATCACTTTCCCTCTTGAGAGCAGGCAATCTCATGTTCTGGCACATGAACTAGACTGTTGGAATATGTAACTCGGATTCAAGAACGAAAATCAATCTCTTTGGTTCTCTTCTTTCATGTCTAGAAGGCTATAGTTTTCTATTAACACGTTTAAACTTGCATGGTGTGGAGATCGGCTGACGTCATAGATGCCGCCGATGGACTGAGCTGGCCATATGCCTATTGTGTGTAAGCGTT